GGGGTATATAGAAGAGAGAGGGAGAGGGAGAGGGGGTGGGGGGTGAACAAAGGCGAGTTGGATTGGGGAGGGCCCCCAACATCCGCCTCTGCGTCTCCGCGCGCTGCGGGCGCTGTGCGGCGCTGCGCGGCATCAGGTAGAGGGAGAGGGCCTTGTTGAGGCAGGGCAGGGGCGGTCCGTGCAGCCCTTCTCTCCCGGCGCGGCCCGCCGTGACCTGGTTCGGGTCGGCGCGGGTTTCTCAGAAATCAGCCAGCGTGCGTATGGTGTATACTCTGCCAACTCTCTTGGCGGTGGACGGTTAACTCGAAGCATACGGGCGGCGGCGCTGGACGCTGCGGCCGCGACCCGGCCCGGCCAGCAGCTGCTGCTGCTGTGGTCTGGTCAGCCGTGCTGAAGCTGGCTGAAGGGCACACGACGGCGCGGATTGCGTTGCGTGGTATTCGGCCCGTGTGTCAGTCAGCCTGCGGCGGGCGCTGCTGCGGTCGGGTGCGGCTCGGCCCGGCACAGCAAGCCCGCGGGCTACACTGCGAAGGGTCCGACCCCAGCCGCGGGCCGCGGTAGCGAGGCCATGGCGGGCCATGGTCAAGGCCACCGCGACCCGACCGGCCAGTTCAGCTTCTATACTCCAGGCACGCTCGTTATGAAAAATGCGACGGGACACTGAAATCCGTTTAGCGCGATTTTGCGATAATTTTTTCCGAATGTTTGCGATGGTGTTTGTGCGGTTTTTAGGCTAAAGGGCAGAGACAAAATCATTGCAAAAATAATTTTATCGCCAAACTTTCAAAGTATTGCAACATTTAACGTTTTCGCATTATTCTTGCAATGTTTCGTTTTCTCCCTGAGATTTTATTGTAATTCAGTGTGCGATGAAAAGTTGTTATGCCCTATAACATAGGATTCGCACGCAAGACATAGTTTTCACAGACTTTGAGTTAAAAGTATACTGCAAAACCTAGCCTGTGTGGACTGCGCTCGGAGTAAGGCTCTTAAAAACCCGACCCGTGGGTACCCGGGTAACCCGGGTAGGAACCGGGTCAACGGGTTTTCCCGGGTACCCGGGGTACCCGGTGGAACCGCGCCTGCAAGTAGGCAATTTGACATGCTCGTATGTCAAATTGCCTAGCTATAGGCGCGGGGCAGCCGGGTAATACGCCGAGTACCCGCGAAAACCCGTCTACCCGGGAAAACCCGTCGACACGGTTCCTACCCGGGCACCCGGGCAAGCGGGTTTTCCGGGTACCCGAGTAAGAATAAGAGCCCTAGCTCGGAGTACATACTCAGATCCGTTAGCAGGTCCTATGTCCGAGCTCTGCGCAGGCCGGGCCGGTGGTGGCTGCAAGAATAAGTCCTTGCCAAGGCTTGAGGTGTGGGTCGCCTTGCTGCTGCTGCTTGATGGACTCGTAGTGGAGGTCGACTGGGGCGCGCTGCATGGACCGCGGCGAGTCATCCATCATACGTCACCGTCGTCGTGTCGCGTCGGGCCGGTCACCCCCGCGGGTCACCCGCATGTCGAGCGAGCGAGCGAGCCGGGCGCATCGCGCTGGGCCATTGAAAGGCACCACCACCACCACCACCACCACCATCATCATCATGTCATGCATGATGTCGACTACACAAAACGTGTGCGAGAGAGAGTGAGGAAGTGACGGCGGGAGAAAGAAGATGACGGCAGTTAGAGAGAGAGGCCGCCACCGGGGCTGGTCGTCTGCGACACACTGTAAAAGCCCAAACGAAGTCTATTGCTATGTAGAGCTGCGCAGAGAACGAAAACTATGTAACCGTAGAGCAACGGCTTCACGATTTTTTTGAAATTACATTGCAAAGTAATGCTTTGTAGCCTGCTTCAAAGCACGCCGAATCCTTTGCAATTTGAAAAGCGCGTCTGCAAGATTCTTTTTACAACAGTGCAGCGCGCTCCGCCTTGCGGGCGCGGCGGCGCCTTGTTTGGCTTTGTCCCGCCCCGCCCCGCCCCGCCTTTTCTATCGCGCACTGTAAAAAATCTGAAGAAAATTCTGAACCCATTGGTTCTTGAACTTTCCAGTCACCAGCAGGGTATTTTAATTGCCAACCCACTAGACTAGGCAATGCTAATCCTCGATCAAACTCGAGGTTTTCAAGTCCATTTGGAATTGTAGAATTGGAATTGTGATGTTGAAAATTCCATTCTACCTACAGAAAATTAGAAGTTGGCTTCAGTTTTATAATTTACTAAGCCACAACTTGAATTCCTATGGTACATGGAACTGGGATTTTCCAGTTTGAGCCACTGATTCGGTATCACACACCCACAGGGCGGAATATCCGGACCCATAAACGGTAAATGTAATTCCTAGAGCCAAAACTTGAATTTCAGACGTTCTACTGGGGCAACGCTTACATTAAGTGGGTCGTCAGCCACTCGCTCGTCAAGGAGCGCTGTGTAGCTTAGGGGTACAGAGCAGAACTGGGAACTTATAAGCCTATGTTCAACTCCACCATGGGGCAATTTTTTTTTTATCGGTTCAAAGTGGTCGACATGAGACTAGGTGCAATCCCGATGCCACAACTGGAATTTTCAAGTTGTGGGTTTCGAAACAGAAATCCCGATGCCACAACTTGAATTTTACTAGTTGGGTGCTATATTTCCGATTACCAGCCCACTGGGTTCAGGAAAACCCGATTAAATTGGTTACGGAAATTTAACCCTCCATGGCTAAGCAATTTCCCGACTCCACGACTGAGAATCGAGCGTTTCACAGCCCAAAACTGGGATTTTCTTAATTTTTTTTTAACAGTGCGTCGTCTGCTCTTCACCTGCTCACTGTAATAACGACTTTGGTCTGGAGAGGAGACGGGGCGAGTATTACTCTGTAATCGGTGGTGGTTGTGGTGGTGGTGCTGGTCTACGACGCGCCGCCGCACTGTAAAAAAAATTAGTGATTTTACATAAAAAGCTTGTAAAACTTTACAACACTTTTATGTAAAATTACAAGCACTGGCATTTTTACGACATGTTTTGTTGTAAATTTACAACCAATGTAATTTTACAGAAGTCTTATGGTAAATTTTACAAATTCTTGTAATTTTACAGAAGTCTTATGGTATATTTTACATCATTATGTAATTTTCCCATTGAAGTGAGGTAAATTTACAAGACTTGGTAATATTTT